GCAGCCACCGAGGGGCCCCCCCTACAACGGGGAAGGCGGGAGCGCCTGCTCAAGCGAACGACTGATGGGGTCCATGCCGGAAAGACAGACACCTCCTCCCTCCTCCCAATCCTCACTCATCCCTTCCCTCACACTCCCCAATCCTCCCCATAATTGCCTCACCTCCCTCCTCCCTCCTCCCTCCTCCCTCCTCCCTCCTCAATGTCCCGCTCAACGGACACCCTTGCATGACCCCCGAAGTTATGAGAAGAAGTGGGAGGAGTTCGTCCCCGACTCGCGTCGAAGCCAAAGCACCCCTGCAGAGGCCGGCGATCGTGTTGATATAACCTGGTGGGAGACCTGCGCGGGACAGACCAGCAAATTGTCATGCGCGGTTCATGCTGGGAAACGCCGCTTTGACGTCACATGCGACGAAAGTTGGCCTGGGCCTCTCAGCGAGAGGGTGAAGACCTACGATGCGGGCTCGAGCGTCTGAGCGAGCAATGTTGGCACAAAAGTTTCGGCCTGGAACGGACCCCTGTTGAGAAGACTGGACGCGCTCGTGGGCTGAGCGTGCCAGGGGTTGATTAATGCCAGTTGCCAGGGCTTTAGCATCGCAGTTTTTCGTAGATAGAGAGAGAGAGAGAGAGAGAGAGAGAGAGAGAGAGAGAGAGAGAGAGGGGCGGGACCTCCGAAGCATCGCGCACGCCATCCTGCGCGTCGCCCTCTTTCCGACCCTTCGGTGGGAGAACAAAGATCGAGTGATTGAGCGAGGGAGGGGCAGGGAGGCCACTGAAGAGGCGGAGGAGGATGGGCTGGAGGCAGTGTGATGATAATGGTGACGATGATGACGGTGATGATGGTGATGATGACGATGACGATGACGATGATGATGCTGCTGCTGCTGATGAGGATGAGGATGAGGATGAGGCTGAGGATGAGGATGAGGATGATGCTGCTGATGATGATGATGCTGATGACGATGAAGATGGTGATGGCCTCCGCATGGACCCCCTCCCGGGCGCGGGGGGGCCCGCTGGGGGGGGGCGCAGGGGGGAAGGCCTCCCCTGCCCGGGGCGGGAGCCGCGGCGGGGCGCCCCGCCCTTCCCACTCGCCAGCCACGTGCCCGCGCCCTCCGCGACACCCCCCTATGGCCAGGGCCCGCCCGCCTGCAACGGGCGGCCTCTGCCACGGCCACGGCCTCGGCCACGGCCACGGCCTCGGCCACGGCCTCGGCCACGGCCACGGCCTCGGCCACGGCCACGGCGACGACGACGCCGACGCCGACGCCGACGCCGCCGACGACGACGCCGACGCCGACGACGACGACGCCGACGACGACGACGACGACGACGACGACGACGACGACGACGACGACGACGACGACGACGACGACGACGACGACGACGACTGAACTCCGAGGCGGCGCCAAGCCGCCCGAAGCCCGCGCCCGGCGGCAGCCGCCCCCGCCCCGCGCCTCGGGCAGGCCCTGGTCCGCCGGCCCCTGGTGCGGGAAGGGCCGGCAGCCTCGAGGGCCGTCGTTTTTTTTTGTTTTTTGTTTGTAGTTTTTGTTTTTTTGTTTTTTTTGTTTTTAGTTTTTTGTTGTTGTTTTGTTTTTTTTCTCTTTTTTATTATTTTATTCTTTTTCTCTCCTACGGCTACACCGTACACAGATGATTTTTCCCGGGTAGGGTTGTCAATAGGAGGGGAGGAGGAGGAGGAGAGGAGGGAGGAGGAGGAGGAGGGGGAGGAGGAGGGGGAGGAGGAGGAGGAGGAGGAGGAGGAGGAGGAGGAGGAGGAGGAGAAGGAGGAGGTGGTAGCTGGAGGAGGAGGAGCAGGGGGACGTTCAAGTGGATCAGGAGCAGGAGGGGCAGTTGGAGGAGAAGGGGGAGGAGGAGGAGCGGAGCAGGGAGAGGAGAGGGAGGAGTGGCGAGAGCGCGTATCAGCGCCAGCGAATGTTTGCCCACCGAAGCCTTCAATACGCCGCAAGAGGTGTAATGGGGGGGGGCACAGGCTGCGTGCTGTCGACGGGGCGGAACAGGGCAACACACACACATACACACGCACACGTTGGACGAAGACACGTCCTGAGGACCAATGACCGCTGCCCCACCAATCTGCCCCAAAATGCATGCAGGCATGCGTTCTAACCGTCGGCGTTCGAAGAAGCGAATGTCAAAGACACAAAGACTCGGACCCCTCCCAAGCCCCAAAACCTACTGATATGGCAGCACGCTTGCCCCAGATCGCCGACTCCGGCATCCGTCGATGTTGACTCGCAGATTTGCACAGCGTTCTTCCCCATGCGCGATGACCTAATGGTCGCCCATATCTCATCTGAAGCTTCGTCGCCTCGACCAACCCTCATCATAGCCGATTGCATCATCACGCGATCCTGCTGTCTGGGCTTGATCCCTCCTGCTCCGCCTCCTTCTTCCCCGAACGCCACTTCGGTCCAGCAGAAACTCTCCTCCCCCTCCCGGAGTCACGCTCGGCTGCCGCAATGGATCAGCGCAGAATCTCCATGATCTGGCGCACCTGTTCGGCCAGATGACCCCTTCCATGCCCCTTCATCGGTTGCAGTTGAATGCGACCGAGACGTCCGCGTAATCAACTGCATCGGATCGTGCCCCGCCCATGCAGGGGGGATGCAGCTCGTGGAGCTGCATGGTGCGATCGGTCGATGCCGCCCGCAGACGTCGCCACGCACAACCGGACAGATCGCATCGTGAACGGCCCTCTGCGCTCCCAGGGGCCTCTGCGACTCCGCTCTCCCGACGCTCTCCAGCCGTCGCATTGAGGAGTGAGGCGGACAAGGCTCCCGCCGAGTGTTGGGCGGAGCCCGCTTTTGCCGATTTTCTCGAACTGGGGGGGGGGAAGAGGAGGCGGAGGCAGAAAGCTGGGTGAGCCAGAGCGGGAGGGGAGAAGCGGTAGCGGATCTCTCTCTCTCTCTCTCCCTCCCTCTCTCTATCAATACATAAATTTTTGTACACCAAATTCATGTATGCATGCATGTGTATATATATATAGAAACAGAAAGAGAGAGAACGGGCAAGGACTCCTCCTCTCATTCTCCTCCATCCTCGGTCGCTCTCCCTAACAACTAATTCGCCGTCTCACCAACAGAAGCATCGGTAAGGCGGGCTAAGCGCTTCGCATGATACTTCCGCACGATTGCTTGAATATGCTACTACGTTTCCCAGCAGTAACGCATGTAGGAGAAGGCTCCGTTTCAAAATGTATGGCTGCGCCTCTTCACCATGTTACTTTCGCCGGAGTGCCGCGAGCATCTGCTTTTAATATCTCCCATCGGCTGCAGGGATGGATGGGTGTTCATTGTCGATCTGAGGCTCCCTCGCCTGAGGTTTGCTTCTCGCTGGCGATTTGGCAATGTGATGTTGAAGCGCGTATTAGGGTTGCACGGGCGCAGGGCTGTCCCCTCTCACAGTGGGGCCTCGTTCGAGACTTCGTCAGTGTTCATAACCAGAAGTTGAACATTGTGCAACTGCTAAACGGATGGAGGGCTGCTATTACTCAAGCTGGGTCACGGTGGACAATTCCTTGAAGTGATTCTTTGCTTGCGACTAAAAAGATTGAAGGGTCCTTTTGCAATCCCATGTGGCGTTCGTCGCTGTGGCAACAGATGCCCAAAAGGATTTATGAGGCCCAGGCATCTAGCTTGAGCCTTCACCACGACCTAATCTCCCAGAGCACAGGGTGCACGGCTTCACGTGTGGACTTCAGGTCCTTTTCAAGGTGTGGCTCTCGCATTGGCGCTGCGCACACTCGTCTTACCATCTTGCAGCCGTTGCTCAGAAGGGGTCCGGGCCCTTCTCGAGAGGTGGCTCTCGCCCGGGCGCCGTGCACATTCCGCCGGAACACGCTGCAGCAGTCGCAGGGATGAAGGGCGACCCCTTCTCACGGTGTGGCTCTCGGCCTTCCACCGATCGCGTTCGTCTGTCGTTCTTTCTCAAGTGGAGGCTGGTGCGCCTGCCTTCATGTCGGGCGTGCCCCCCTACAGGGGGATCGTCGACGAGAAATAAAAAAATACCCCAAGAACGCCCCCCAAAAGGTCAAAACATACTCAAAACACAGTCCCCAGATTATTTTTTGACTACTTTTTTTTTTTTTCGTCGAATGTCCCCCGGTAGGGGGACGGGCCCGACTTAAAGCCTACCAAGCAGCTGCCGCCACGCCCGCAGCACGCGTGCAAAGGGCCTCTGCGCGGGTGGCCGCGCCGCGCCCGCTTTTCGCGGGGCAGCGAGCCCGAGCCTCGGGCAGGAGGAGGAAGAATCCGGAGGAGGGAAGAAAGGAGGGAAGGAAGGAAGGACTGTGAAGGAGACCTTGACGACGGATGACGTAATTGAAGTGCATTATGGTCGGCTGCGCAGGAGGGGAGGAGGACGGGGATGAGGAGGAGGAGTAGGAGCTGAGGAGGGAGGAGGAGGAAGGAGAGGAAGGAGGAGGAGGAGGAGGAGGAGGAGGAGGAGGAGGAAGGAAGGAAGGAAGGAAGGCAGGAGGAGGAGGAGGAGGAATAATCAGGAGGAGGAGGAAGGAAGGAAGAGGAAGGCAGGAAGGAATGAAGGCAGGCAGGCAGGAAGGAAGGAAGGGAGGAGGAGGAGGAGGAGGAGAAGGAGGAGGAGGAGAAGGAGGAGGAGGAGGCGGCTACTTTGCAAGACGGGGCTCCCGCCGGAGACTTCGCTGCGCCGCGGCATGGGGCGTGCGACGGCCGCGCCGATCGAGGCCGCTTTTCCTTCTCGGAGCGGGGCCATCGCTGGCCACTTCTTCATCCTCCTCCTCCTCCTCCTCCGTAGTTTTGCTCAAGGTGTTTGGGCCCATGCAGGCTGGAGGCGGGCGCACTTCGAAGGGGCGCAGCCCGTCCGAGCGAGATGGCGTCATGAAATTGCTCGTTCCCTTGACGCTTACCCGCGCCTTCAACTTTGGTGGAACTCTTGGAGGCTTCGAGCTGGACGTGAGGGCCGTGCAGGGGCCAGCTGTGGACCTTGTCGTCGAGGTTCTCGATGCCGACGACACCATCGCCGCTGCTGAGCATGGCGGAGTTGCAGGGCCTCCGCCCCAGGCACGGGGCGGCGCCACGGCCGCCGGGCTTCGGGGGCCAGGTGCGTCCCCCACAGGTCTTCGCCCAGAAGCTGAAGTCAACCAAAGAGGAGGACTGCGGTGTGCCGCCCGGCAGCTGGATCGCGACGCCACAGAGGCGGGTGAGCGAGACGGAGCGTGGGCGCAGCAGTTCGTCATCGGGGACTTCAGCAGCGGCGACGAACATCAAGGAGGAGCTGGTCGAGGGCAACAAGGGGGACAAGGAGGAGATCAAGGAGGGTGCACGCGACGTCGCGAAGGAGAACGACGCGTGGCCGTCGGTCGTGCAGCTCCAGGCCGCGAAGCACAAGGCGGAGGAGCTAGCTGCCGTTATTCAGGCCAAGGTGGCCGCGCGCGGCGGTGCGGTTCAGCCCCAGCGCGGCTGCGGGAGCGGGACGCGCGTGGAGGAGACGGTGCTGAAGGACGTCGAGAAGGACTGCATGGAGGAGGAGGAATCGTGCTGGAAGAAGTCGGAAGGCTTACGCCAGGTCTGGCACTGGCTGGTCTCGAGGGTCTTGGTGGAGCAGATGCCGACCAAGGACGAGCCGCCGAAGGAGCGCAGTACCAAGCAGGAGAGGCTGGAGCGGAAGCACGAGGAATTACAGGGGCTGGTCCAGCGCTCGCGCTCGGTCTCGATCAGGAGGGACCTGCATCGCATCGAGCTTGGCCAGGCGGTCGCAGCAGCAGCGGAGCCGAAGGCCACGCCCAAGCCGAGGTTCCCGAGTTCCCGAGGTCACGATCGATCCCACGCGATCCCAAGGGCTGGAACGCCTACGGCCAGAAGAAGCAGTCCTCGAGCGGGCCATGAAGGAGGAGTTCCTGGCGAATGGGCTTGTCTGCCCCCCCCCGCAGCGCCGTTCCTGGTGAGCCGGGCGCGGGGGGAGGTGCCGCCGCCAGCGCTGGCTGCGCAGTGGCAGGTGGCTACGAGGTGGAGTACACGGGCAAGTACACGCTACGCGATGGTAGCGCAGGGGACCTATCCGCAGGGCCCGAGGAGGCGACGGGCGTCCGGCCGGCGCTTCACAGTTCTGGAAGGGAGGCCGAGGAGCCTGGCCCGTCCCTGGGTGGAGGCCAGGAGTCCGTCGGCCAGTGCGCGCCTACTGCTTCCGCGAAGTCCAGGAATTACAAGAAGAGGGAGAAGAAGGAGAAGATCACGGAGAGCGGGCTTGCACAGCGGCTGTTGGCCGATTACGGGCTCGCCTACTCGGAGGAGATGGTCCACGTCGCCAGCGGGGCCGTGCGCAGGGTGCTCGTCGGCGTCCCCCAGTCCCTGCGGCTGGAGGTGCTGGAGACGCTCCAGAACAAGTCGTTCGACCTCTTCGAGGATTAGGTTCGTGGTGTTCCTGGTCTGAGTTTTGGGCTCTGGGGAGGGCGGTCCCTCCTGCCGCCCCTGGGTACGGCCTCCCCTGCGGTTGGGGGGAGGCGGGTTTCCAGGGGGCGCCTTCGTGCGCGGTCTGCTGGTTGCATGCTCTAGGGGGGACCGCCCTCCATTCGCGGGATGCGAGGGGCTTTGACCCATTTTCTATTCCACCTATTCTATTTCACCTCCTCCCTCTCTTCCTCCTCCTCCTGCTCCTCCTGCTCCTCCTGCTCCTCCTGCTCCTCCTCCTCCTCCTCCTCCTCCTCCACCTTCCACCTCCTCCACCTCCTATCCACTCCTCTCCCCCTCCTCCTACGTCTAGTCCTCCTCCTCTCTCCTCCTCATCTCATCCTACTACTCCTCTCATAACCTCGGCCTCCTCCTCATTACTTCCTCCTCCGTCTCCTCCTACTCCTCGCTCCCCTTCTCCTGCCCCTCCCCTCCCCTCCCTTCCCCCTCCCCCCTCCCTCCCCTCCCCTCCGCATCCCTCACAATCGGACATAGGCCAGAAGAACATCCTTCAAGAACATGAAGACCCTCCGTCGGCCCAAATTAGCAGACCACCCAAGGGCACCCTCCCCCGGGTTGCACAAGAATATCCAACAAACACGAAGAACATCAGGGTACCCTCCCCGAACCGACCTCGACCTTACGCCTCGGTCTCTCCAACGGAGCTCCCGCCTGAATGGCTCGTGGGGCGCTCGTCTTTCCAAGGGGCGCTGCGCGCGGACGACACAGCATGCTTGCAGGGATTAGTAGTGAGGAGGGGACTTGTGATGTGTGTGTGTGTGTGTGCGTGTGTGTGTGGCAACATCGTTGGCGCGTCTTTGGTTTACTCTGGTCTTCCTCCTCCTCCTCCTCCTCCTCCTCCTCCTCCATTCGTTCCTTGTAAATAACTTCTCCCTGTCGCACCCCGAGGCCTGTCGAAAGGGCGATCCGGGCGTTTCGCCTGAGACTGCCTCACCATTTATGGCCCTGCAGCTTAAACATGGGCAACAGTGTAAATGGAGGGCGGGCCGTTTTCAACATGTGGTTCTCGCCTTAGCGCCACGCACATTCGATTAGAACGGATTGAGTGCGATTCCTTTTCAAAACGTGGCTCTCGCCTTAGCGCCGCGCGCATTCCTTTTTTAAAACTGCAAGAGTTTCATGGACTCCCACGGTCAGCGTACCAGAAATTGTGTTTAGGATGGATTCAGGATTATGAGGGTGCAACAGTTACGTGGATTCGTGGTTTGAAGTCCCAAGAACGGCGTTCTGGCACGATTCAGGGTCGTCAAGACGCAACAGTCAGGTTGATCCGTGGCGTTGGAATCCCGATAATAATGCTTTGGCATGCGTCAGGGTCTTCAAACGGTTGTGTTCCAACGAGGCAGTTCCCTCAGTGGAAATGAACCTTTGAAGGGGCCCATGAAGAGGTAGCTTGGAGGGAGAGTTCATTCCAACATCGTTGATGACTCTTGGGTTTACACTGGTCCTTCTACTCCTCCTCCTCCTCGGCTAGTGGCGTTCGTGCCCACTTCCTTTGCCCGTCGCGTGCGGCGTCCCCTCCCGCGGCAGGGGTGGCACCTCCTGCGCCCCTGGCCGAAGCTATGGCTGGCGGCACCTGCTGGGCCGCGCGCGCGCCGCGGCGCGAGCACGACCCTTCCTGCCCCATGGCTCGGGGGGCGCCGACTGTACGCCGACGCCGCCTGTGACCTCGGCCCATCTTGGGTCCCAGGATCGGCGCGTACGCCCCACTGGCTCGGCCAAGGACGCACGCACGCGAACTCTGGGCCCGAGATTGGCCTGGCCAGGGCCGGTGTCGGCACAGTACTCGCGTCCTCCGAGCGCTTCCTGCCCTGGCCTGGGCCGCGCTGGCTGGAGCAACCTGCGAGAGAGGCCGAAGACAGCAAAATCTATCGGACTTCCGGGCTGCATTTTCCTGGGGTGTTCCTCTTCTCCAAATGCTCCCCGTGGCAAGCACATTTAACTACATGCCCGTGGCAGCGATGAGTCCTCCTACAACTCCTCTGGACCAACGAACCAACGGCGTGGCACATACTGCGCGACGTACTGCTCGCTCCTACAGCACCCGTGAGGCAGCGCAATGCCCACTTCCAGAATTCCGCGCGAGCGATGGCCCCTATCGTCAAAGACTGGTGCTGCCTGAACAGCCAAGAGCTCTATTGGATGACTTCCAACGGGGCCGAGATAGGTTTCGATGCCATGCCGCCCCAAGACAAACGCGCTTTGGCCCAAACTGGCGTCAATACAACCTTCAACGGGTATTCGACCTGATTCGTTTGGCAGGATGCGACCCGAGTGTTCTGCGGGACTCTTCCGACGGCTTCCACGAGGCCCCACAGGCGCTCGAAGTATGTCCTCCTCTTCGTCCTCCTCATCCTTTTTCTCCTCCTCCTCCTCCTCCTCCTCCTCCTCCTCCTCCTCCTCCTCCTCCTCTCCCCCAGGGCCCTCCGAAACACCCTTCATGTCTTTCCCTGGAAGCAACTAGGGAAAACACGCTGCTGCTGCTGCTGCTCCTCCTCCTCCTCCTCCTGCCGCCCTGGCTCGCCCCCTCACCAGCTCCTCCCGCGCCCCGAACCACCGGAAAAGGGGGGCGGGGGGCGGGTGGGAGACAGCGAGAAGGAGGGAGGAGGGAGGGAGGAAGGAGGAGGGATGAGGGATGAGGGAGGAGGCGGAGGAGAAGGAGGAGGAGGAGGGGGAGGAGGAGGGGGAGGAGGAGGAGGAGGAGGAGGGGAAGGAGGAGGTGGAGGAGGAGGAGGAGGAGGAGGAGGAGGAGGGAGGAGGAGGAGGGAGGAGGAGGAGGAGGAGGAGGAGGAGGAGTGAGGAGGAGGAGGAGGAGGAGGAGGAGGAGAGGGAGGAGGGTGGCGGAGGAGGAGGGGAGGAGGAGGAGGAGGAGGAGGAGAGGGAGGCGGAGGAGGCGGAGGAGGAGGAGGAGGAGGAAGAGGGGGAGGAGGGGGAGGAGGACGCGAAACCTGCCCCAAGTGAGGGTGACCCTGGGTGCGCGACCCTGCCCGTCGCTTCGCGCGAGGCGACGGCGGCGGCCCGCACGGCTCGGGTTTTGAGCGCCTCCTCCCCGCCGCCCTCCCGCACGCGCCCCGACAGCCGCGCGCCCGAGGCTGCGCCCGCGAAGGTTCGTCTGGCTGTCGGGTCATGCGGGTCTCTGGCAGCTGTTCGGAACGATCCGGGCCCCCCCCCCTGAACGCTCCCGGCGAGGCGCAGCGGCTGGGACGCACTCCGAGGTGGGCGAGCATCCGGGATGCAGGGAGCGTCAGAACGCGTTTGGCGAAAGGCCACTCTTGCCCCCCTAGTATGCTTAGCAAGCTATCACCAAGCGATGTTATAAGTCTTCGGGCCAGGGAGGACGCGGTGGAGGTTGGAGGTTAGTAAAGAGGAGGTTGTGCGTTCGTTCGTGTGCGTGCGTGTGAACGTGTGTGTATGTGTGTATATATATATGTTTATGTGTGTGTATGTGTGTTTGTGTGTGTGGCGTGTGTGTGTGTGTGTGTGTGTGTGTGTGTGTGTGTGTGTGTGGCTGTGGTTTTGGGTTTTGTGTGTGTTTGGCGTGTGTGTGCGTGTGTTTGTGTGGTGTGTGTGTGTGTGTGCGTGTGTGTGTGTGTGTGTGTGTGTGTGTGTGTGTGTGTGTGTGTGTGCGTGCGCGTGTGTGTGTGTGTGTGTGTGTGTGGCTGCGTGTGGCTGAAGAATTACGCCTCGGATCCCTCGCTCCTCCGCGCGCATGGCGGGGCTGCCCGCGGCGCCTGGGGAGCCCCGGGCGCACGCGGCAGCACGACTGGAGAGCGGGCCATGTTGGCCGTCCGTCCCCGGGAGGGGTCCCCGCGCTTGGCGTCGGGGGCCCCTTGGGGCTGTCCGCGGCAAGGGCAGGGGAGGCACCGCTTCCTGGCGTTTGTGTGTATCCTCTCTTTCCCTCTCTCGCGCTCTCTTCCCTCCCTCGCTCTTTTTATCTATCTCATTCTCTTTTCCTTTCACGCTGTCTCTCTCTCTCTCTCTTTTGTTTTTTTTTCCGCTCTCTCTCTATCTCTCTCTCTCCCACTCCAAATGAGACAACAATTCTATTTTACGTGCAGGTGCGCACATCTGCGCATATACACGTGTGTGTGTATATATATATATATATATGCACTTGAACAGGTCTACGTATACACTTACAGATCTGAGAGCCGATGGCTGCTCCTGTGTTTTACGTGCCTATTCGTTTACACTATCACGGGTCCACTCTGTCTTCCCATTCTTCGTTTGTACTTATCTCTCGCACTCTTTCTTCCTACACATGTAGGTATGCACAACTGCAATCGCCCTTACACGATGTGTGGTCATTTATTTTTGAGCATCCATATATATATTGCGATTAAGAGTCGTACTCCCTTGTCTTCTCCTCCTTATCCCTTTCACACACGGCGGATTTAAACTATGTGTGTGTGTGTGTGTTGAAACTTTTCCACGTATGGCACCTGGATAACATTTTTTTTGTGTGTGTGTGCGTGTTTCAACTTCGCCAAGCCTGGCAGCTTGGCCAGCATTGTATGTCTAAACTTTCCAAATCCGACGGCTGATGTGATGGTGCACTCTTTTCCCAATGCTCTCCGTACGCGAATTTGGAGATGTACACTTGTTCATGACGCACGTGCGTGTGCATATATATATATATATATATATCAATCTGTATTTGCATATGTATATATGGGTATTGCCACAGGAATATCCAAACACATGGGAATACTCGATATGTTTTCGGCTGTCAGGCTGGGACAGCCTGGAACACATAATGCTTTTCACCAACAGTCCCTGGACATGCTTGCAGAACGCATGATTTTAGCCCGACAGGAATACTGGGAACAAAAACGCGCAGCCGTCAGGAAACGCGAGGGTTTCCAACTTCGAGAGAACGTCTTCGGTGTACGCTTCGCTGGTGCAGAATTCCAACCTCCCCCATTTTGTCGTGGTTGTGG